TACTGTGCGGCTGATAGCCGCACCATCATCGAGCTGCTGTGTTTGTCATACCACGTCCACCCATCACGGCACACCAGCTTGCATACTCACATAATGATCACGAGACTTACAAGTAATTCTAGTCTTTTCTGAAGCCACAAATATCTAGCCTTGCGAGCACTGAAGCTGGGTGTCGAACATCACTCTCAGATATTCAACACCATGATGCGTATCGAGGAAGAACCAACTTCAAGTTGCGCATCTGACTATGGTTCAGATACCGACGATGGAACCTCTAGTGAGACAGCCCACCAGGATTCGACTCATGTACTGGCAGAGAATCTCGGTATCATCGGTGCTACCATTGGCTACATTCAAGATAAGTTCTTCGACTATGAGGCTCTTCCAGCTCATGGCATCGCGAAAGATCTCTTCCTGAGATGGACTCGGAAACATCAAGAAGACCTCATTCAATTAGGAGCCCGCGCAGGTACGAATCACAACACGCTGAGAGCCCTTTGCGATCCACTTCATAGACGTTCCCCCAACAACTTCGCCCGCTTCAGACCAGAGATGCCTGACGAGAAGTCGCCAGCCAAGCAACTCCTCGTGCTATTTGAGGCTGCTGAGGACGCCAGAAAGCGCGCTTTGAAAGCCTACCGCGATCTCGTCGTTGTCTCCAACTATCCACCCCACCAGATGCTGAATTTTAGCCTGCATAACCTGCAGCGTCCTCATTTGCCTCTCGATGGATTCTTCGTCTCAAAGTTCGATGATCTTTCGATAGTCGGGCATTACATTTCAAACGCAATGTCCAAGATCGATGAAGAATCAGCAACCGAATATGAACAGATCAACAGGTCGATTCGTGAAGAAGAACATCTACTGATGAATAAGGAGTTTGAAACCAGAGTCGTCGGACTTCAGTCACTAGGCTTCAATTCGGAGACGAAATTAATGTCCTACCAACTGAACATGGCCCAGTCGAGATTGAACATTGCTAGACTCAAATACAAGCAGCGTCTGTTTGTTCATAAACATGTCTCGCCGGGTTGCGACGATAGTTTCAGGACTGTGGAAAGTATATTCGATTTGGCTTCTAAGCTCCCGCGTATGGACGTCTCCTAGAGCCTGCGATGGAAAACAGAAGGCTGTTGATATGTATGGTTGGAGGAGCGAGTCTACTTAGAAAGTTGGAGAGGTATTCGAACGTTGTTCTGATGAATGCGCCCTTTGTCCACGGCACATTCCCACAGTTCAAGATGCGTATGCTGTATTCGAGTCTGTTCAATTTTGAACACAGCAAATCGTGTTAGTGTCGGTTTTACCGGCAGTCTTTTGATAACCATCTGCGAAACTCATCATGAATTGTCTTGATTTTGGAAACACGAACATCATCTCTAGGAAAGGCATACCTGTTTGCAAGCATATTTCCCGTTGCAGAAAAATCCTTGCTCTGTAATCCAGGCTTTCGACGACTTACCTGGTGAGTAATCTTATCACAGATAGATTACAACTCCTCGAGCCAGCCAAGCGAATATTACGACTTATCGTGCATCAGGCTGAATTCCAGATCCACACGCTCTATAAAACTTCTCATGTACCCGAAGAAAGACATTGCGAAATCACACTGGCATCTGGAGAGGAGTTTTCGGTCAGCTACATCACATCGCTTTGACTAGAGGCTCATCATCTCCGTCAAACCATACTATTTCGGAGATGCGACTCTTTTTCCAAATTGCTGTGGTCTTCTTCGCGATAAGCAACTGCAGTTCTGCAGAAGCTCAAGTTGAAGAGGACGCGGTTGAAGCTCTTACTCATGCACCTATTCTTCCACTGTACAACAGCCAGACTCCAATGACTCGGACCGGTAAGTATATCTCCAGCAATCGCTGTCCCATTGATCCTGACCGTAATTAGTGGAGGTCTCAACATCAGTCAAAGAACCAAATGCTCTTTCAGAGATTTACTCCTCGGATCTTACTCGAAGATCTTTTGTGAAGCGTGCGTGGAAGATTCTTCCCATTAAGATGGATCTCGACAAGCGCGTAGCTCGACCTGGCCTTGTCGTGGAGAATACAACTAAGCCTGCCGCCGAAGATCGTTCAGAGCACTGAGCAGCTTGTGCATCTGTGCACAATCATTGAGCGTCGTGTGACCAAGCAGCGAGCATAGCATTGAGTGATGTAGGACGTCAACGCCACTGTCTAGAGGAACAGCGGATGATAAGAGGTGCTACTTTCTTCGAACAACCACTCCTTATGAGCACAAAGTATGTCGGACAAATTTGAATTCGCTCCAGACTCTCTGTCAGTTCCATTCGTTTCGAGAGGACTTTGCCCACGGGTACTTGTGAACAAAAGATTCTGCTATCTACGAGCATAGCCGCGAGATTACTTAGAAGCTGATTTGAGACTGGAACCTCTTAGGTCCCTGGGTCGTTCTAGTATTGGAAGACAGAGTCTGTTTCATGGAAGAAAACACCAGTGGGCGCAACTATGCAAAGTGTTGCATGACACGTGTCTTCAACTGTTGCCATATCACTGCACGTGATTCTTATCCCAATATAAACCTAAGGTGAAGTTCAGTGGGTCCACCAAAAACACTGACAGAGATGACTAAAGTCCATGGTTGGCAAGTAGGAAAGAAGGGCGAACTTAAATAGTCGGGGACGTATGCAGAGTGTGGCTTTGTTTCGACACGTCAAATATCGCAGCAAGGATGATTGGTTTCCGCAAGCTATTGAGCGCATTGCTAACTATTTTGTTCTAATCCGACACATTCTTGTCTTCACTTCGCGATGTGTATAGACTCCTCTCGACTGTCCGTTAGTAGGTCAAAGGTGCTGCCTGCCACCTGAGGTAGTCTCGCACTCCTGATAGGAATTATACCCAGTGAAAAAGGTTTGTGTGTTACTCTTGGATAGTGGAACAGTTGCAAAGTCTGTTGTCGAGCCTGCTTCTGTGCGGCATACTACGATCCTGCAACGATGAAAACTCAGAAGGAGACAGTCAACTGTGCTTGGTGGCTGGCTAGGCTAACATTTGACGGAGAGGTAACTGAACTAGACGACACGGAGAGAAAGACGACGGCTCCCGAAGAGTGACATCTTTGCACCATGCGAGGATCGGCCAAGCCAAATAGTCTCGAGGACGAAGATGACGCGAGAATGCTAAAGCTTTTCTTCCGACTCGGTGTTTTTTTGGTGTACAGGCACAAACGATTCTATGTTGATCAACACTATAGACGATAGGCTGCGCAGTGAGTAAGACAGGAGGTGAATAGACCGAATCTCCTTCAGGAAGTCATCAGTGCCAGCCTCCATGCCGACAATACCAGGTTCGCCAGCATAGTTGTAGGCTGAGGCTTGTACGTATGTGACTTGTCGCTTGGTCTGGTCGAGTTGTTCTCCACAAGATTTTTGTTGTGGGAAGGCCTACTCATCAGCGGTCGGAAGTGGATGAGCGGATTGGTGAAAATTAGAGCAATGCGGGCGCTTATAAACAGATGTTTTCAACTTGTGCCTGGAATATTACACTTTGCATCATTTGAGTGGGCGTCTATCAAGGTGAGATACAAAACTGAACAAGAACGGCACGCAAGTATCAAGCTGCAAATGACAAACGTTATCCGCCTTGGGCAGTCCACTTCTCCGTTCAGCCATCAATCGCAGGTGTTGCGCGAGTCGGATCTGGTGCAGCTTGTTGCGGGGCCGCAATTGTGCCTGTCTGCGTTGGGCTAGCGCCTTGCCTCAGACGGCGCCCGCTTCCCTCAGCACCATCGCACACGTCCGAACAACGACGCTTTCGGTCTCATCGTCGCTTTCGACTCACCTACAACACAGACTCCTCTGGCTGTCAAGCGCATTGAAGGATGCAGACTTATCTTACATGCACCGAAACTTGCGTACCCGGAAATCTGGAGCTGATCTGACAGCCGTCGTGTCGCTTCGACACACCGCAAGCATCCCACACCATTCAGAAGCCTAGACGCATTCGGTCCTGAAAAACCTACCTGATAGGATCACCTTGAACATTCTCGCAACGCACCAGTGCGCCCGACGATATGACCGGGGTCTGTTTGTGTGGTGCCAATCAAGAGCTAGAGACAGAGCGCGTCCTTGAGTCTGTATGAAGCATTGCATAGGGAGGCATAGTCATGAACGAGCCCGTCGTTACCACTCGAACTTGACCAACCGAGTCGTTCTTTGTCTCGTTAGCGTCGACTCGATTCTTTTTCCCGGCCAATCATCTCCATCCGGTCCAACCTTTCGACGCCTCGTCATCCGGACCTTCTCTAGGCCAGCCTTCCTCCTCGGAGTGATCCGCGTCCCGGCTATGTTCCATCGACTAGCTGGGGGCAGCTACAGTCCACCTATAGCCTCGGGCCTGCAACAGAGCATTTTCTACCGGAAACAGGAACCTCGCCTTTTCGTCAAGATCATCGTCGACGTTGACCTGCCTTGGAATCCTGCATGTCAAGCGGGTGGTAGAAGCAAGGGCTGTACGACTTCTCATAAGAGGAAGAGGGCGGGTTGCCGTGAGCTATACGGCAGTGAATATCTATGGCTAGCAATTGGTGGCGAGAGTCTTTGCGTCTCAGTCTTTGCGTCTCTACTGTGTTCATGGTGTTGCGTTGCCGAAACTCTGGCAGACTGCAAGCATCTGCTCCAGCAGAAGAGACATGACCCTGTAGGTTGCCGCAACGAGTGCACTATTGTACAGCTCGTCTGGTCACCAAAGGCTTTGGTGATACTACATGGCTACTAATCCTTGCACCATTGGCAGATCAAAAATCACCGATCTACTATCTGTCCTGACTGATAGGTGGATCTTCGTCAGCGAAATGACCAACAGTTGTGGCACTATCACTAGCAGACTATACAACACTCAGCTGGGAGTATGCATTACGTTGCGGCATGGCCATGCGACTTGACTTGGTCTACGGAGAACACGCGCCGAGCACGTGTGACAAGGACGATAGCGTAAGTGGTCATGCATTCATGAGTTCCTTCTCCCAAGACAGGACTTCGTCTACTTGTTCTTCACTACCAACGCTCGTAGTCTTTGTCACCACTCGTATATTTCAAGCCCTCATGCTGCTCACCTTCGTCCGTCGACACGTCCATTGAGTATCGCAACTTTCAGTCGCCCGCCGCTTCTGATACTGTCAATAATCATCACTTACACGTTGTCTCGAGGAACAAACACCTCATGTTCAGTTCCAGCGACTTTAGGAACATGGCTAGAACGGGAACACTAAGTGAGCCAATTCGTTCCCTTCAGAAATGTGATAGTTCCGTCTTTTCTGTCACAGTAAACACATCTCTTGGTTCCCTGAGCAGTTGACTCTTCACATCGTCAAGCCATTGTCAGATGTGGACCAATGTGTTCGAGCCTCGAAAGCTATGCTAATATTTCCTTTCCGAAAGACAGATTGGGCGACATGTGTACGAGAGATAAAGATGGAAAAATCGTCAGAAAGAAGGTAAAAGCTCAGAGTCAGCATGGAAAAGGTGGCAATGGTCTTGGTAATCATGACGCTCAACGGCACCGCAAAATCCCACGCGATACAATCAATGGCATCAAAAACCCCTCCATTCGTCGTTTGGCCCGCCGTGGTGGCGTCAAGCGTATATCCAACATGATCTACGAGGAGACCCGTAGTGTTCTCAAAAGTTTCCTCAGAAGTGTAATCTACGACGCCATTGTATACACCGAACATGCCAAACGCAAGACTGTCACTGAACTTGACGTCGTTCATGCCCTCAAGCGTCAAGGCCGTGAGTGATCACGCCGTTTCGCTTGTTCTTACGAGGTCACTGACTTTGGTTCGTAGGCACCATCTACGGATACGGCAACTGAGTATTTCCGTCATTGCAGGTGATGAGACCACGCCACAAAGTCATATAGCGATGTTGCATCACAATAGAAGGTCTGAAACAAAATTATTGAATGTGCAACGTGTTGAACTGGTTCGTAAATTCAAAATTAGTGCTGACTTGTCACGCTGGAATCTGCGATAGGCGGTACAATGAAAATTTGAAAATCATGTCCTCAGAGACAGCCAAATCCTACTCACATAGTCTGCCCACTTCGCAGGCTTATGCTTAAACTACAGAGGAAAGGGACAAGACTTCTCGACGCTTATGGCGATCCTCTTCTTGTCCGACTTCGAGTCTTCACGACAGGAGTGAGAGCATCAAATGATTGGTACTCGATATACACATATTGACTAGATCTCCATCGTCTCATCCATACTATTCTAAGAGTTTCAAATGCTGTTGCTCTATAAGTTGATTCTCAAATGCAGTCAAGCAACTTTTAGCCCTCAGTCACCCGCAATCACAACATCGATAAAGACTGGGATCATCACTTGGTGGAGTGATGGCCAATAACTCAGGTGTTGACGAACGCAATGACACGTCTCCGAGAAGTTTCCATGACAGCTACGGCTTGCGCCCTAGACGCCTGTAGCGAGCTTTTGATGAAGTCAAGATCAGCAATGAGCTCTTCGAATTGAGCGATCGCAGCATTCAATTTGGAGATCGCCACACTTGATTTTTTGAAATCGCTTGCCCGCCGGACACTATCGAACACCTGAGGGGTACCACTGTTGTTGATTGGGACAATAGGCTGCGCAAGCGTGGAGTCTAGCCCCGACTTTCCGAGCCAGTGCGTTAGGATGTCCTCTAATGTCGCGTGTGCATTGGCATC